GTTAAGGGAATCACTGCAGTTGATCAGTTAGTAACTCAGTCGCTTAAGTGAATCTGGCTTCCCCATTGACTTTGACAAGTGGTTTCCCTATACCCAACTCCATTCTAGCACTGATGACATTACCTAGCTGGGACAGGAGAAGTCTGCAAGAAAACAACCAAGCTCAGAGAGCACCAAGGACGCCAGTCTTCCTCCTCCTCCTCCTCCTCCTCTCCCCCTCCACAAATCCCCCTCCATTCTAGCACTGATGACGTTACCTAGTTGAGAAATGAGATGTCTAGAAAACAGCCAAGCCCCAAGGAGGCCAAAGCAATGATTGCATGCATGGGTTATTATTATTTTATTTCTGAAGCCTGCAGAGATTTGTGTTCAATCCACCTCCACAAATTTATCACTCTTGAAGAGACTCTGATGGTGGAAGCAAAGGGCCAACATGTGACAATTCCTTTCTAGAGAAGATAGTCCACCTTGCTGATCTGAATTCAGGCCATTTCCTCTTTTTCCCATGCTTCGCTCCTAAAGAGAGCGAAACCTCGCTGAATGGCCTCCATAAAGCCACGACACACAGTACACTGTGTTGTGCGTTGTGTTGTTTAAAAGGAATCTCTTTATCTATTAATAGGACACAGAAGAAGCTCAGATCATATTTTAGGTCACGGTCCTGGAGGATTAGGTGTAGTCGTCAAAGCGTTTGAGCTGTCCGTCTGCAGAAATCCCGCGGCTGGCTATTTTTCCCAGATCTAAAAGTCCTTCAAACCAGTGTGAAATGTGAAATGTAACTCTGCAACTCGATTTGAGTGTGTGAGAGAACGAAAAGTTTCACATATCTGCCACCTCTGTGTAGAAAGCGGCAAAAAAAAAAAAACCCTAGATCAGTGCAGATAGAAAATAGAATAACAGGGTTAGGAGGGACCTTGGAGGTCATCTAGTCCAACCCCCTGTTCAAGCAGGAGACCCTGTATCCTTCCAGAGAAATGGCTGTTCTTAAAAACCTCTCTTCCAACCGTATTATTCTATGTTGCAATATTCAAGCTTGCCGTGTCTTATTGTCATTGATCACTTCAGCAAGCTTTTTGGTTCTGGATTATTATTATTATTATTCTTCACACAGTCAGTCAGAAGTTCAAATTGGGTTTGGCATTTTGGTCTACCTATCGAGTCCATTCCAAGGACCTGGGATAGGCAAATCTGGATGTTTGATGGTGTTACAGGTATGATATCGCCGCAGGATGGAAGCTGTTCCAAGTAAAGCTGCCTTCTGCAATTGACCGATGGCAAATTTGTCAATGCCACTGATGGTGTTGGCTGTTCAGTCTCTTCTTTAAAACCTCCTTTCCAACCGTATTATTCTATGCTGTAATATTCAAGCTTGCCCTGTCTTATTGTCTTGATCACTTCAGCAAGCTTTTTGGTTCTGGAATATCATCATCATCATCATCATCATCATCATCATCTGATACTACGCTGGCAGGAATAGCCAATACCCTAGATGATAGGCTCAAGATCCAGATGGATCTTGACAGAGTTGAATCCTGGGCCCTAACTAACAAAATGAAATTTAATGTAGAGAAAAGTGAAGTCTGACACTTAGGCAAGAAAAACCCAAAGTACACATATAGGTTGTGTGAAACCAGGCTTAACAGCAGTAACTGTAAGAGAGAAGTTGGAGTCTTAGTGGACAACCCATTAAATATGAGCCAGCAGTATGCGGTGGCAGCCAAAAATTTGCAAAAATGCAACTTAAATTTTTTTTAAAAAAATGGATTATAATCCTTAGGCCAACAAGTTTCATGTGATTATATATTCTAAAACAGTGGCTCCCAACCTTTTTTGTCCCAGGGCCCGGTACCGGCATCAGCATGCACGACCAAGGCAAGGTGAGCCGAGTGACCGGCCAGCCAGACGTCCGCCGCTTCTCCCTGCCACCTTCAACTCCTCCTTTGTACATTTGTCGATGGGCTTTTTGGGCTCTTTCTTAATCTACTCCTAACACGAAACTCCACCACCATCGGGATGGCTCTTCATTCGAAGCCCCCCCCCCTTCGACGAAACTAAGGCGCGAGGATTCCTTCAGCACCCAAATGCCACTTTCCAACCGACGACTGACAAGCTCACCCAGAAGCACTTTCTCAAGCGCTGTCAAAACAAGATGGTGGCGCCCACTTCTTTGCGGCCCGGTAAAAAATGATCCCGGGGCCCGGTGGTTGGGCACCACTGTTCTAAAACATAGATCCTAAGGATTAGATTTCATAGAGTGTTTGAAGACCCTGGACTGATATTTGGGATATTGATAAAACTGCAGGGGTGGGCTTCAAATATTTTAGAAAAAGGGTTCTCTGCCTGGGTGCTGGGTGGGCATGGCCAGGGTGGGCGTGGCCTAGTCAGCCTCCTGCACCACAGAGGGGTGGGATCTGTTTTTGCCATCCCCGAGCCTCCAGGAGGACAAAAACGGCCTCCATGGACTCCAGAGGCTCTCTGGAAGCGGGAAATGGGCCCATTTCCGGCCTTCCTGAACTTCCGGGAGTCCATTTTTCACTCTCCCCGAGCCTCTGTGCATGCCCTGCACTCCCCTCCATCCAAAACGGGCCGCGTGAGGGCTCCTGGGAGGGGAGGGGTAGGCAGGGCCAGCCAGGGGTGGGATTTGGGAGTTCTCCCAACTGCACAGAATCTTAGCTAGGGGTTCTCCCGAACTCCCGCTAACCCCCAGCAGCCCAGCCCTAGTTAAAAGCAAACCAAACCAAAATGCCCTAAAATTTGCACGAAAGAAAGCCGTCCCCTGCTACACCGACCACAACTAAAATACTAATTTTGGCAGTCAATAGTAGCGTCCCAAGAAAACACACCCATTAACCAATTTAAAATTAATTTATCGGCATAAACTATATAATACTACACATACTGACAGCGGCCAGAATAGCTTACGCGCAAATGTGGAAAGAGCATAAGGCCCCAACGGAAGAATAAATTTTACAAAAAATGGCAGACTATGCAGAAATGGATATGCTCACACTTAAAATAAGGGAAAAAGAAGAATCTGACTATTACTCAGTTTGGCATAGATGGTACATATGGCTAGGAAAGAGAAATAAGAATGGATAAAGACGACTGTATAGAAGAAACCTCAAGAAAGTAATACATAGATAGGTAGAAAGATAAAATAGATAAAGACAGATAATAAATAAGAATTATAAATAAAGACAAAGACTACTAAGAGTACGTACGAATAGATGATGGAAATATGGATTAATACTGAATGTTGATGCAAATACTGTTGAAAATGTAATCAAGATGGGTACTGGTGGAAAGCAATGAAAATTATTTGAAAAAAATAAATAAAATTAATGTCATTTCCTTTCTGTGGGAATGATAGTACTCATGTTTACCTGGAAGCTCTTAATGCAATTGCGAATGTTAATTTGGAAAGCTGTGATACATTAACACCTTTACGTGTTGTATGCCTTCAAGATCTAGAGCCATTATCACAGTTTAGATCGCTAACCAGGAACAGATGTTACCCCCTCGAACTACAGTATGGTTCACAGTAAAAAAAAAAAAAAAAGCTAAAGAGTTTTCTCTGTATCAGTTTACGAATTTGACTAATTTACTAATTTTAGACCAGTTGTCCAACTTAGCAAATGGAGAATCTGTGCAGATTCTCAATCATCCAGTCACAGTTGGCCCAAAAGTGCTTTTTGCAAGAGATAACTGGACTTCCTTGTTTTTCTTTGAAGATCTTTCGCTTCTCATTCCAGAAGCTTCTTCAGCTTCTGAGAACTGAAGAAGCTGTCTTCCTGAGAGCTCAGGAAGCTTCTTGGATGAGAAGCAAAACATATTCAGGAGTCAAAAACTGACAAAGACATGCTGCGATTCTTCCAAATAGATCTCCTTATTGTTCTGACCCAAACCCTTTTCCAATAAAACAAACACAACAAGGGTACAGAACCTTCTAATGCTTCTTACGAATCCCCGGTTAAAAGGATTCTGAAACTAATTAACACAAGCCTCACCAAAACTGTGTGAGTCTGTCAAGAATCACAAATAAGAAATAATTTACAACACAAGAGTCTTCAAATACCAAAATACTGCAATGTCCATGAGGTTGGAGTTTCAAAACGTTTTTGCTTCCTGCAAAGAACGCTCACTTCACAGCTGGCTTTTATCTTCTTGAAGGCAGGGCCATTACCTTGCAGCCTTACTCCTGAGTCATCCGTGCTGTTGCAGCTGCTCTTTCCTGCGAGCAACCCTGCATGCACGCAAACTTGGCACAGGCTCCTCAGGAACCTCCTCATCGCTGCTGCCAGCCCCCACAATCTTTGAAGGCAGCAGTCCACTCCTTAATGGTCCTGGCCCCTCATCTGAGTCCTTGCTCTCCTCAGCCATCCGCAACTGCTACTGGCTAACCACAACACTTATGATTTCACACCTATAGACTGAATCTTGCCAAACTAAAGCGTATACTATGGTAACTATTAAGGAGGAGCTGTCTTTACCCTCTTTCTCTCACACAAGCTATCTAAACTGAGTTGTCGCTTGCTTCTCTGGAGGGCAGCCCCTCCCTCCTAGGAATCCAAACAACGTCTCATCACATCTTGGTTGTCTACAGGTAGACTCAGCTTATGACCACAATTAAGCCCAAAATTTCTCTTGCTGTGAAATTGTTTTGCCCCATTTTATGACCTTTCTGGTGAAAAGCAGTCATAAATCACTTTTTTCAGCATTGTTGCTACTTTGAACAGTCACTAAATGAACTTCTGTAAGTTGAGGACCACCTGTACAGATGGAGAAGACCATACAAAAGGACTGACTTAACCTTTCTTTGCCTTTTGGGGCACATCATCTAGGCTAGGGGCAAAGTTTAAGATCTGTGGGCTGGGGAATTCTGGGAGTTGAAGTTCACGAGTCTTTAAAGTTGCTAAAATCGGCCACCTCTTACCCCCAGCCTGCTAGATCAATCGCTCATCTCCTCTAGCTTTAACTCCAACTCCAAACTATTCACTTACCTTGGTTTGATCATCGGCTTTGAAAACGTAGCAGATACTTGGCCGGTGTGGGGACCCATCTCTGATCAAGCAGGCAAAGTAACTGGGATCATCACTGTTGTGAATCAACTTGTGGACATCTTGAGGCCGACACTCAAAGAGGCTGGAACAGATCAAAGGATCCCACTGCTGGTTTTTCCCTGAGTCTGCTTCACACCGTATCTTGGCGGGGGAGATGTAGATCCGAATTTGGCGAACGTCAGGCTCTTCCTTTGATGGCTGAAAGCTGAGCTGTCGGATCTGGGCTACGATCCAAGGAAGCATGGGCATCGTGGTTAAAGAATGGACCGGCATCGAACCGATCAGCTGAAGGCGGAAATCAACAGAACCGTCATTGGATGCCTCTGGGTTTTTCACACTGAATGACAAAGGTTCCATTTTTCGAAAATTGGGAAAGGTGCTACCTCAACCCAATCAGTCAGCCAGTCTTGAAATTCTAAAACGGAAACAAAAAATTATTATTAGCGGATGTAATGACTTCTTTCCATTCCAAGAATCGTGCCAACAATGACACTAAACAGCCCTATTTCAATTTTTCATTTTGTTTATGCCATGCTACCGAGTTTCCCCGAAAATAAGACCCTGTCTTACATTTTTTTTGCCACCAAAAAAGCCACCAGGTCTTATTTTCGGGGGATGTCATTCATTGACTAACCTCACTTGCGCACGTCGCCCCTGGTCTCTTTTTTTGCTGCCAGAAGCCTTCAGGAATTTATTCTTCTGTGGCTGGCAAGGCTTTCCTAAAGGCCTCTACAGCCGATAATGGAGCTCCGGATCAATCCGGAGCTTTTTTCTCAGCTCCAGAGGCCTTCAGGAAAGCCTTGCCAATCTTGTCGGCTGCAGAAGAAATGGGCTGGCATGACATGTATTGGGTGTGCGAGGCCTGGCTACAACCTTCCAAAGGTAAGTAATAGGGCAGCTCCACACACACCCCATCCCCACCCTAGCTTAATTTTTAATCGTGCACTCTGGAGTGGGCGGGATCTTAATTAGGGCTTATTTTGGGGGTAGGGCTTACATTGGGCACATATGTAAAAATCAAGCTAGGATTTACTTTCAGGGTAGGTCGTATTTTCAGGGAAACAGGGTACTATAACCAATTTATTATTCAGGATAGGTCTTATTTTGGGGGAATGTTACCCACTGACTAAACTCACTCGTACGCATCACCCCTGGCCTCCTTTTTGCTGTCAGTGAAATGAATAAATTGTTAAATTGTTAAATTTAAAGATTCTAGCAGTGCTGTGATCATTATCGTGTTTTCCCAAAAATAAGAACCTGTCTTTTTTTTTTTTTTGTCACCAAAACTGCACAAAGTCTTATTTTGGGGGGATGTCATCCACTAACTTCACTTGCACACATCATCCCTGGCCTCCTTTTCGCTGTCAGAGGCCTTCAGGAACTCCTTCTTCTACTGCCAGCAAGGCTTTCCTGAAGGCCTTTGCAGCTGATAACGGAGGTCAGGATCGATCCAGAACTTTGTTCTCAGCTCCAGAGGCCTTCAGGAAAGCTTTGACAGCCTTGCCGGCTGCAGAAGAAATGGCCCGGCCAGGCAGGTGTCAGGGTGTGTGAGGCCTGGCTACAATTATCCAAAGGTAAGTAGTAGGGCAGCTCCCCATCCGCACGCTCGCTTAATTTTTACCCTCGCTTAATTTTTACAATTTTTAGATTGCACCTTAAAAATAAAGGATAAAGAGGACACAGAATATTACCTAACATGGAATAGGCTTTACAAATGGCTAGAGGTAAGAGGTAGAAATTAGGTGAAGAAAGATTATTGTTATGTATGAATTAAATATAAAGAGGGTTTATAATTATAAGCATTTTAATATAATTAACAGACTCTCTCTCTCTCTATAAAAACGAAATACCACTCATTCATCATCACAAAATCTCCAGAACTGTAAAGCCTACAAACTTGAAATTTGGCACGTATGTTCCTCTCGGCTTCTAGGGACTCACTAAGAAAGGGTTTTTTGAAATGACCATCAGAGCATTAGTATTTCCTATATTATCATTATCAACACACTCTGACGCTAAGGAATTCTACTCCCCCTCCCCACCCGAACAGAAATCTGTTCCAAATGCAAAACACAAGCAGAGGAGTTTCAGTTTTACTTTCATAGCACCAAGCAGCTTTAGTACAGAACAGTTGAGCTAAGCCACATCCAGCTCCTTGCTGTCTCCTTGCTCACACAGCAAATACTCTTTCGGTTTCCAAACAGCCCTCAACTCTCTCACACACTGACAGGATGCTAGCCAGATGAATACCAATGGATGCTGGTAGGCAGAGGCAGAATTCCCGCCCCCCAAATTATTTTCTTCCCCCAAAACTAAGCCCGACCACATAGTTTCGTAGCAAAGCACAGGTATCAAGCTAGTTACAAATAAGAGAAAGCTACTTAAAAACTATTCTGTTATACATTATTATTATTATTTTTGTAAAAAGCTTTTTATTTTTATGTTTCAAAAAATATCTCTTTTAGTGAACATTGCGGTTCCAGGTTTTTACATTTCTATATAAACATGACTTTAGTTACATATTCATCTTTCACATTCAATTCCATATCATATCATTACATTTATAATTTCTATAAATTTTCTCAAACATCCTTATATTCTTCACACTTATTATATATATTTCCTATTCGTATCTTCTGTTATACCATTATTATTGCGATTTGTATACAGGTTAATATCTACGTTTGTTTCCTTCTTACTTTTTTTGTAAATGATACGCCCTGACAATACACTGTATTCAAAATGTTTATGAATCAAAGACAAAACATTAAACAAAAAGGATAAAGGATTTATCTCTTGCAGTGTTTTAAAATAAAGTCATTCCCGGAATCACACAGGACGGTTCTGGAATTCTTTCTCTCATGCTGGCAAGTGGCAGGTTTCAAATTACTCTGAATGCCACAATGCTTACATGCCCAAGGGATCCCTTTCTGAACAGATCCCTAGACAGGACAGAGAACATCACGCACACATACACAACTTTTGCACACACACACAAACTTTAGCACTGGCCTCTTGTTCAGGAACCAGACAATCAGCCCAACTAGCAACTTGTTTTTGCTTTTTAAATGCATTGGCAATCAACACAGGAAACCTCCAACCAGCGGTGGGATTCGGCCAGTTCGCTCCCCTTCAGGAGAACCAGTGGTTAAGCTTCTGAGCAGTTTGGTGAACCGGTTGTTGGAAGAAATCATTAGGGCAAAGAACCAGTTGTGAAATTATTTGAATCCCACCACTGCTTCCAACCAGATAAGAGCATCAAAATAAAAGCTCATTTTTTCAAAGCTGTCATTTGCGCAGAGGGGTGTCCATCATTTGAAACTTTCAAGAAGAGATTGGACTTCTGATTTGTCAGAAATGGTGTAGGGCAAGGGTGGGCAAACTTTTTGGCTCGGGGGGCCTCGTTAACTTTTAAAATTTGACAGACGGGCCGCCACCTGGTGTCGAAATGCCTGTCATTACAAGTCAAAATCAAATAAATGCAATCATTCAATCATTCACATCAAACCTTAATTCTATACCAATCTTCGGCGGGCCGGATTAAAAAGACCAACGGGCCGGATGTGGCCCCCGGGCCGTAGTTTGCCCACCCCTGGTGTAGGGTCTCCCCCTTGGGCAGGGGCTGGACTAGATGACCTATACCCATGATGGTGAACCTATGGCACATGTGCTACAGGTGGCACGCAGAGCCATTTGTGCCAACATGCGAGCTGCAGGCAAACTTATCTCACTGCGCATGCGTGTGCCTCACAGCTGATTTTCGGCTGGTTTGAGGCCTTTTTCGGCCTCCCAGAGGCTTTAGGAAGGCTTCTGCAGGCTTTGCAGCCTGAAAACTAGCCCTGTTTCATCACTTCCTGTTTGTCCGGAAATACCGGAAGTGACAAAACAGGCCTAGTTTTCGTCTTGAAAAGCCTGCAGGAGCCTGCAGAAGCCTTCCTAAAGCCTCTGGGAGGCCGAAAAAGGCCTCAAACTGGCTGAAAAGCAGCTGTGAAGCACAGTGCAGATAAGGGGCGTGGGTGGGTAGGGATTGCACACGCATGCTCAGGGGGCGTGGGGGGCACGCATTGCCTTCTGGGTGCTGGCACCCCACCCCCAAAAGGTTAGCCACCATTGACCTATAAGGTCCCTTCCAACTCTGTTAATCTGCAATCTGATGGAAACTGAACGGCTATAAATGTTCAGGGAATTCCCAAAGGGGCGAGCCAAGAGCCTCAAAACTCAGCTCCATCACTTTCCCCCATTCGGGTCTTTTAATATATATTTTATATGTGTGTGTATGTGTGGTTTTTCTTTCTTTTTTTAACTTGAACATATCATCTTCCATTAAACAGGGTGTTGTTTGGGTCTCTTGTGCTATTACAATCCAAATTTACAGTATTCGTTTACATTGCTAATAATTCTCTAATCTTACAATAATAATAATCATAATCAGCATTATAACTCTATTCATTTCTCCCTCCTAATGTATCTTTGAATGAAAATATATTAGGTATAATGATATTAACAATCATATTAATAACCACCATCATATTGCATACAACTCTATCTTAATATATATTCTTTATTTCACTCCCCTCCATTTATTTCTCACTTTTTATTCTCCAACCATCCATAAAACAGCTCCCTCGTCACATAATATATTCAGTTTGCTCTTTCTCCTTTATAGCAAGCGTTAATCTGTTCATTTCTGCACATTCTAACACTTTTCTAATTCCATTCTCATCTGTAGGGATCTCATTACTTTTCCAATTTTGCACAAATATAATTCTATTAATACAGATATAATGAAATATGCATTTCCCTCCCCCCCTCAATTGGATCTTGAAAAGATTTTGGGGCACCAGAGAGAAACGTGTATGGAATGAATTATCAACACTTTGCCAAAAAAAAAAAAAAAAGTGAGGAAAATACAGATAGAGATTAACAGAGTTGGAAGGGACCTCGTAGCTCATCTAGTCCAACCCCACGTCCAAGCAGAAGACCCTACACCATTTCTGACAGATGGCAACCCAGTCTCTTCTGGAAAGCCTCCAGGGATGAAGCTCCCACAAACTTCTGAATAACAGAATAATAACAGATGAACAGAGTTGGAAGATACCTCGCGGGTCATCTAGTCCAACCCCCCACCCAAACAAGAGAGACCCTACACCATTTCTGACAGATGGCAGTCCAGTCTCTTCTGGAAAACCTCCAGGGATGAAGCTCCCACAACTTCTGAATAATAACAGATGAACGGAGTTGGAAGGGACTTCTTAGGTCATCTAGTCCAACCCCCCTCCCCCTAGCAGGAGGCCAAAAATGTATTCCTGCCTGTATTAATTTATCCAAAGGGAAGATTCAAAGGCCAGGAAGTCTCCAAGAAACTGCCCTTAGGGACCCCAAACTAAAGAGTTAAAAAGACCCCGAC